TTAAAATTGACAATTTATATTTGCATTTAAAGTTATGAAATATGATCATTAAACATGTTTGTGGTTGTTACAGTAAAAATATAACTTTTTCTACTCTGATTTGATGTTTTTTATCTGATTTTAGACCAGTTGTGTTAATACAGTCAAAATTAAAACATGACTGTAGATTCAGACACGTGAGGTTGTGCTGAAAACAATGAGACCAAACAAGACAAACAGTTTTTAAAGTGAAATGTGGAGGAAACATCAAAAGTAGTTAAAAATGGACAATAATACCCTGGACCCCAGAGCGTTAAACTGTTTTTTTAAGTAACACAATAGTTACTTTTCAAGTAATTGATTACTTTTAGAATCTGGTAACTCAGTTACTAAGTCAGTTACTTTTTTGAAGAAGTAACTAGTAACTATAATTAATAATTTTTTCAAAGTAACTTGCCCAACACTGCTAATGACTAATACGGGAAGCACAGCATTAGACGGGCCGACCTTCTTCTGGCTGTAATAAGATGTCAGTCATAAACTCTGGGTAAAGGGCGGAGTTTAGAAAAGGACGTGTCCTGCAGAAACAGTCATAACATGGATGTTGGTCACTGCGCAGTCCAGTCTTTATTACTCAGTCCCAGCAGACCGCTTCCAAAACCCGATCACTTCCTGTTTCAGTCCAAACAAACAGCCGAGCGCACGGTGGACGGTCCTTCCTCCTCCTGATAATGCTTCCTGCTCCATTCTCCCAACGACTCCTGACAGAAAACAAGTCGGCTGCAATCTGCCACTTTAAAAATTTATAGCATGAAGTAAAGTGTTGCGTGGCTTCTCTTATTACTCCTCTAAAGTTATGGTAAAAAGAGAGTCAGCTGATTCAGAAGGACCCGGCGTCCTGCTCAATGTGGAGCCGGACCTGTCAGTGTTCATTAAGATGTCATACTGTCAATAAGAGACGATAAATAAAAAAATAAGGCTCCAGCATCCGCGTTCACGTTGGTGTTTGTTAAAGATATTCTATTATCAAAGTACTCAGATGCAATGAAATATCACTCAGACACTTAGAGCAGTTTTAAACGTGCACGGGTGAGAGACTCAGGGAGAGACTCACACACCTCCTTGGTGCAGTCTGGCTTTATTTATACACATCATGAAGCATACAAAAAAGGAAATATCATCCTTATTTTGTCAAGAAAACAGGTGTGGTTTATCAAAAAACTTCGTGTTCTCTACAAGGTTGTTTCTTACTCGTGGGTGGCGGTTTCCTGCTAGTGTGAAGGCAAACAGTGACAATGTGAAGGCAAACAGTTTCCGTTATAAAATAGGGAGCCAGCAATTAAAATATGCAGCTGGTTGAGTACAGAACAGAAATATAAACACTCTTAGCTGATTATTATATGAATAACAAAACCTTTAAAAACAAAAATACTCTGACAGTGTTCGTGTCCACAAATGTGAGTTCCTCTAACGTCCACAGTCAAACAGAAAGACCTTCATCCTGTGGAGGTTCTTCTTCCATTTACTTCAACAAAAGAAAGTTTTTCATTAACAGGAAAGAAGAGATTTGAACACTGAAGACCAACATTTTCCTAAACATCCAACAAACTGTGTTTATGGGAGAATTTGATTGTGTCTGAAAGCAGAAGGTAGAAAAGTTCTCTCAACCAGTGTCACATTCAGGCTCACAAACACTTTTACTGTTTCCTAACACTTTGTGTGACAGACTGTTGGACCTGAACAGGTGCGTCTAACTTCCACATCTTCTCTCTCCCAGAATCTCTCAGGTACTCCAGCAGCTGCTCTGAGGCAACTGCTTTTGTGATGCAATACAAATAAAACTGGATTGAACTGGTGCACTCTGCCTGTGTCCCTGCTCCCTACTGTCAAATTAGCTTTAGTTGCTGCACTGTGAATAGCTAGTACCAGCTCATAACAGCTAGTAACCAATCTTAACTGTGCTGACTCAAGCTGTGGACACAGAGCTTTGAAAAAGCGTCTTTTTCTTTTCAGGACCTGCAAACTTGTTGAAATGGCTGCTTGTGTATTAGCATTTAGGTTCTTCATGTATGAACTCTCAGACTCTTTCCTGGACTTGCCCCTCTGTCTAATCCAAGGAAACAACTCCAGTCCACCTCTCAGCAGGTCACAGCTAAGCTGTTGACAGCCGGGTTTAGTTTTAACCACATGTGACTTGTAGAAACTAGAGGATCTTACTTTTCAACTAAAGCCTCGTCCATTCTGGACATCTGACGTTTTTCTGTGAAACCTGCTGCACACAGGCAAAGGTTCAGTAAAAAGAGGTGGAAGCTGAATAACCCCCACCCTAGATGAAGCACCACTACCCTGGTGGATGTTAAAGGGTTAAAATACTGCCTCTGATTCCTGGTGCCTTGCTCTTGGGTGACTGTTACACCGTCAGCGCTGCAGACAGGAGCCCAGTGATCTGAGCAGCAGAGTACGGACAGACTGCAAACGTTCACCTAAAACACAGAAGCTAAAAGCTTTTTAAGAACGTAGTGAAACCTGCAGATGTGACTCCTGTTTTCTGTCTTTGTACTCGGCTGTAACTCAGACAATACTGACTCAGCACAGAAGCATTTATATCAATCATCACTCACATTGACAGAACACACAAAGAGCGATGCTGATAATCCCCACGATGACGGTAACGATGACGATGACAGCGATGCCACCTTTAAAAAAACTCAATAAAAAGAGCGTGGTGTTAGTTTTACTGATCACGTCTGTCGGTGTGCAGAGGCTTGTTCTGCTCCGAGGACACAGCAGAAGAAACAAAGATGACTGAGCCTTCTAGAAACATTTGATCAGATTATCCTGATGCCCTACAGGAGAACATCGGTGTTATTGTTAGTGAGTCTACATCAGAGGTGTCCAACTCCAGGCCTCGAGGGCCGGTGTCCTGCCGGTTTTAGATCTGGGTCGACACACCTCAATCACATGAGTAGTTCTTCACCAGGCCTCTGGAGAACTTCTCGACATGTTGAGGAGGTCATTTAGCCATTTGAATCAGCTGCGTTGGACACGTCTAAAACCTGCAGGACACCGGCCCTTGAGGCCTGGAGTTGGACACCCCTGGTTCCATCATTACACAAGCTGGTATTAGATCAGATCTAACATGAATGTAAAGTTTATTATATCTAATAAAAATGTACAATAAGAATAAATAAAGTTTGGCAGTTACACTCTGTGACCTGAGCTGGTGTTTCGTGGTCCTTGTGACTTTAACAGTGAGATATTACTGGCTTTTAAGTACCTGTAATAAAAGTCCTGGCAGGTGAGACGTCTTTAGTTGTTGTCTGACATTCGCCCGAGGTGGGATTACAAATTCTGCACGTTACAGTTTTTAATCCGCTGATGTTGGCTTTGCTGAAGACGCTGAATGTTCCATTCCTGGTGTTATTATCAGTCTTTACTTCCAGTGGCTCCAGGATGGTTTCATTCCCCTGGTCGTCTGTGGAGAGCCATGTCACCTCAGGTTCAGGATAGCCCCCCGCCGTGCTGCAGGTTGCTGAGGCCTGGCTTAGCTCGATGTTTGGTTCCTGGAAGACCGCTGGAAACAAGTCACAAGCAGTTTAGCAGGATGTTTTGGACTGTACAAATGTGTTTGAGCATGTGATTAATTTATCAGCCTGTGATGACGCACAGGAGTTAACGGCTTTTGTGGGTCGTCACAGGCTGAGGACCCACAGACGTCTGTAGTTCACAAAAACATCCAAGCATCCAAACCCGGTCTGGTCCTTTCACAGGAAACAGAGTATAAGACACGTCATTCTCTTCATTTCTGGTCAATTTTGTACCTTTTCGATTATTTGTGGGTCAATTTATGATTTCAACATAATGTAACATGATGCAGCGTGCACTGTTCACCCCACCTGCCTCCACCTGGAATTTTACACCTGTGTGAGTCCAAATTGATGGTGAGGAAGAAGGATATCAGTGAGTCTAGAGATCAGATTACACTTTCGTTTTTAGCTCCAAGTTATTATTTTTTCATGTTGTTATTTTTAGAAACTCACACAGATTTTTCTACAGAGGTCCAAACCTGAACAAGAGTATCTAAGATTTTACTTTAGCTGGTTGTGCTGAGGAGGAAAGCAGGAATGTTAATCAGCTTTTGAAGTATACAGACCTGCTACATGCAGGGTCTTCTGACAGATATTCTCCTTTGAGTCATCTGAAATAAAAACAACTTCAATGAAGGTCCCATCGTGGTCCAGCATCAGGTTTCTAATCAGGAGAGAGAAATTTCCATCCTCTAATTGAGAAAGGAAGATTGCAGTCCTGTTCTGAAAGGATGAGCTTTGATAAAGAAAGTCTTCTTCTCCCTTCACATAGACGTGGGCCACAGTGGGGTTGCTGCTGCCGTCCATCCCCTGCCAGTAGATGTAAGTTTGCTCACGGACAAACCTCTTAGTAAGTTTGTGCATGCACGGCCAAAGGAGCGTCTCTCCAATGCTTCCATTGATGGTTTGGCACCAGGCTGGCAGCAGCACAGGTGCAAGGAGAACTGTGACGAAAGACAAAACGATTCATTCATTCCAAACGAGCAAATTCAGCGCATTCATCAAAAACAGGCACAGGTCAAAGTTCACCTGACCCCATGAGGCTCAAGCAGAGTCGAAAAGGCCTTTAATGTTCACTGCTAACATGATGGAAACTGACTTTGTACATTTAAGCTTTTCCAGTCTTTTCCTGTTTATTGAAATGTCGCCCAGACCACAAGTGACTGAAAGAATGAGAGAATAGTCTAAAATGTTCGCTGACGTGCAGTCTGCTGCCATCCTGGCTGAGCAGCAGACTGTCAGTCTGAAGTTTGTTCACTGGTATTGGTTGTTGTTCAATTTTGCACCAACCAGGGAATTGTGGGGCGGGGTGTGAAGTTGACCTCGTAGAGAGCAACTACGCGAGATGTGGAGAGAAACCCAACAGATGTACAGCAAACGAGCAGGTGAGAACTGTAAGAGTACTGAAGAATACGTTCCTGTTGGTGAATTCAGAGCTCGGTTTGAAGGTGATGAATACTTTGAGAGTAATTATTTCAAATGCATTTGTTTCAAACTGTTTCTGTCAGTGTATTATTGTATTACTAATAACAGCATGTTAGTGGCTAGCAGTGTTAGCACAGGTACCACCTGTAGCTGTGTGTTACTATGGTAACGTGTGCTGATGTTGTAAGTCATGAAAAGTTGAAATGAGTTTAAAAGCGTCATTGAGTGACTGGACTGAGTGTGCTCCCTGGAGTACAGGGCCAGGGGAGGTTTTTTCCTGGGTGAGCACAGACCAGCCCAGATGTTGACTTCCTCTGTGGGAGTTTGGTCGCTGTCGCTTCTCATCCTTTGCTTTGTGGTTGCAGTAAAACAGTGTGAGAGTATTCTGCTGTCTGAGATACTGAGACAGTCTTTCCTTAAGTGATTGTGATTATTCAAAGTGTTTGCAAAGGAACTGACACGGACATTTATTTAATATAGTTATTTTGTTTAGTCTGAAACCTCATTTCTCTTTCTTTTAACTAAAGTCCCTTATTTTGGTGTTTGAGTGTTGTTGTGTGTGAGTTTGTATCACACGTCAGGTGTTTGTGAATAGCCTGACTCACTGTTTCAGTGAGGCGTAACCTGTTACCTGTTACATACCTGCTGTCTGATTTTACTGCAGGGTTTCTGATTAAATCTGTTTATGATTGTTTTGCCTGGGTTTACAACCATTACTTAAGATTATAGTCCGTCAGTTACAGCTACTACACTGAATTATAGATAACGAACTATAACCCAAAATGTTAATTTAAAAAAGGCCATTTTAAACAATGATGACTTATATTCTTTCTATTTATTAAAATACACTGGCACAAACCAAAATGAGAAAAGCGACAATCTCACTTACAGAGAAAGATCAGGAGCAGAAACTCCATCGCGCCCCGCAGGGAGAACAAAAAGCTTTGGTGAGACTCGATCAGTGTCTGCAGGATGTTCAGTCCATCAGTGGATACTCGGGCACCGCATCCTGATAAAGCACCATTTGGCTGTAAGTCACTCCAACTACAAGCTCCAGTAATGTTCTCATAAACAGTGATAGCAGCTCTGATAGCAGATTGCAGACTGCGGTGCCGTTTCCTCTTTCAGACGCCACTCTGACTCTCGCTGTGGCTTCTGGTCACATGTTATCGATGGTTATGTTCACGTTACTGTCTGAGTGCAGTTTACTGCGACTCACAGATTTATTTTTCCCATCAGAGATCGTCTGTGTGACACTTGGCAGCTACAGGATCCGAATAAATCATTTTATCCTGGATGAAACTCTCTGTGAAACCTTTTTTTCCCAGAGGAGTAAAAACCAAAAAGCAGAAGTCTGAGTGCCACATGTTTCTACAGATCGCCGTCAGACCTCCTTCTTTGTTGCCACTATCTGATCAGACAGGAAATGAACCTGAAACTGTAGATATTTGTTCTGCAATGTTTCATGTAACACATAAAAAAGCAAAGAAAACCAGGAATGTGGTTTATGACTGTGAAAGTTCAAATGTGAACTGACGAATTCAAGAAGCCGAACAGCACAAAGTCTCGATCTGATGGTACAAATGTGGCAGAGCTGCTGTAACCTCTCACACTCTGAAGGGTCAGCTTAGTTTCAGTCA